CAGCCTGCTTCAGCCTCAGCCTCAGTCTGCCTTCAGCCTCGGCCTCAGCCTCAGCGTGCCTCAGCCTCAGCCTGCATCAGCCTCAGCCTCAGCCTCAGCCTGCCTCAGCATCAGCCTGCCTCAGCCTCAGCCTCAGCCTGCCTCAGCCTCAGCCTCAGCCTGCTTCAGCCTCAGCCTCAGTCTGCCTGCAGCCTCGGCCTCAGCCTCAGCCTGCCTCAGCCTCAGGCTGCATCAGCCTCAGCATCAGCCTGCCTCAGCATTCAAAATGCGGCCCGGGAATGGAGTTCTGGGAACTCGAAGAACACGAAGTGGCCTACAGTTGGCTCCGGGCATTCAAAACCATGCTCAGGAGCGGAGTTCTGGGAACTCGAAGACCACGAAGTGGCCTACAGTTGGCTCCGGGCATTCAAAATCATGCTCAGGAACGGAGTTCTGGGAACACGAACTGGCCTACAGTTGGCTCCGGGCATTCAAAATGTGGCCCGGGAATGGAGTTCTGGGAACTCGAAGACCACGAAGTGGCCTACAGTTGGCTCCGGGCATTCAGAATGTGGCCCTGGAATGGAGTTCTGGGACCTCGAAGACCACGAAGTGTGTAACTGTTGTTTGCCCCTGTTAGAAACCTGGACAAGTTGGCGAGCTCCACCATCAAGTCGCGCAGTCTCGGCTGGCGTTGGTGGTCTCTCTTGTGCCGCGCGCGCGGGATCGGCCCGCTACGGGAGGTCACGCTCACCAGCAAAAGGGGGGAAGAGCAGCTGCCACTGGAGTTCGTAGCGCACTCGTCCAGGCGTGGGCGCAAGAAGGCGGGCGCCATCAAGCAGTGTCTGAGTGCTGTCCAGGCCCAGCACCTCGCTCTCGGCGCGGGCGATCTGACGGCGGGGGCAGGAAGGCTCTGGATGGCGATCGATGGCCTCCGGAGGCGCGACGGTGACGCCGAGCGGAGGAAGCCGGCCACCCACGGAGTGACGCGGTGGATCCGGAAGAAGCTGCAGCCGGAGAAGTCTCGCGAGGGCGCGGCCCTCTGGGTGGCGGTGGCAACGGGCTACTTCATCCTGCTGAGGGCCAGTAAGCACGTGTCCGGCGACCAGAGCGGCTCTGCGGGCGGCAAGAGTCTGCGAGGAGTCGACGGACGTCTCGCCGAAGGCAGCGGGCGAGCCGTGCAGGGGCTGGCTAGAGGCGAGCGAGGTCGTCATCAAGATCCGCGCCAGCAAGACCAACCAGTGCAATCGCGACGAGTGGCGCAACCACTTCAAAGTCGAGGTGGCGGCGGAGTCAGCGGAGAAGGGGCACCTGCGCGTCGCGGAAACACTGACGACCTATGAGGGCTGGGCACGCGACGGGCTCTCAGGGACAAGGATGCACGACCCGCTCTGCGCCCGTGACGACACCGAGCTCGCGGCGCGAGCAGACGTCCAGCGCGCGGCGATGCAGTCGGCCGTGGCAGAGGGGGTCGACCCGAGCGACCTCGGCCCCCGCAGCCTGCGGATCGGTGGAGCATCCGCGCCGTGCGCGGCGTTCAAGGACACGGCGCTGGCGCAGCGCTGGGGGCGCCGGAACAGCGACGCGTTCCCGGGCTACCTCAGAGAGGCGAGGGGCGCGGCGCAGGGCGTGGCCAGCGGCACGGCGGCCGCGGACCTGACTATGGTGCGAGGAGGAGAGGTGTGGCAGCCGTGAGGGGCATCTGAGGCTCGAGGCGCAGGGTAGCTTACTCGGCCGCGCAGGCCGAGGGCTAGCGCGCAGGGGGGGCATCGGGGAGCCTCGCGAGGCTGAGGAGCGTGGCCTGCCGAGGCGGAGAGAGGACACGTGCGCTGGCGCAGCGCAGGAGTGCTGGGCGGTGGCACGGCCAACCCCCGCACCCCCAGCGCGGGCGGGAGGCCCTCGTGGTGGACCCCGTGGCCCGCGACGCGCGTGGAGAGGCGGCGGGCGCCAAGAGCGAATGGAGGCAGGCGGCTCGGGCAGACAGGCTGCCGCGCCGCGAGCTCGCGCCTCGAGATGAGGCGCCGCTGTCACGCGTAATCAAAATGGCGTTCCTCATCGCATCCACATCAGGGAAGGAGGCGGGGAGAGGCGGCCTGAACGGCATGGCCCGTCGAAGGCCAGGTGCTGCGATCCGCCGCTGACGCGAGGCGGAGCGAGAGGAGCAAGTTTTGGACGCCAGACATAATTGAAGGTTTAGCGCGCGCGCGCAACCTCTCCCGCTCCTGCCCTCTGGCTCAAGGCCCCCTGGGGGGCCAGCTTTTTGGGCCCCCACCCACCCGCCCGCGCCTTTTTGTGGGTGGGGCCTCCAGCGGCGTTTCTCTCGGCCCCACAGTTGGGCACGGGAGGCCAGCGGCGCGCTCGCCAGCATTGCTGGTTGGCGCGCGGACGTTCCCCCCCGTGGACGAAGGCGGCCCTGGCCGACAGGCTGCCGCCCCGCGGGTGGCAAGCGGCTCGGGCAGACACCCTGCCGTGTGCCGCGAGCTCGCGCCTCGAGACGAGGCGCCGCTGCCACGCGCGATGGAAATGGAAGCGGCGTTCTTCATCGCATCCACATCAGGGGAGGAGGCGAGGAGAGGCGGCCTGAGCGGCATGGCCCGCCGAGGGCCAGGCGCTGCGACCCGCCGCCGGCGCGAGGGAGGCGCAGCGAGAGGAGCAGCACCGCAAAAAGGGCGCTGCTGCCTTCTGCGGAGGAGGAGAAGGAGGAGGACAGTCGTGCCGCTGGACCACGGCCGGCTGGATCCCGGCGGCGTTGTGGACCGTCGCGTCGTTGCGCCACGGCCTGTTGGAGACCCGTCGTTGGCCTGGTCCCCCACGGAGGGCCGCCGCGGGTCGTGGGCACCCAGTACGTTCGAGATGTGTGTTGCCGGCGTCAATCGAGAAGCCGTCCTGGTGTTGGATACCCTGGAGGCTACCCAAGAGTACTCTGAGTGTGCCGATCTGCAGAAGATGATGCTGTACCTAGAGCGGCGTAAGAGCCCGCCGAACGAGATCGAACTTGTGTTTATGGATTATCGGAAGGGCCATGCAGAGCACGACCCAAATCGTGACATCTGCGCGCAAGCGAAGTTTCCTGCTCGCCCGGCCCGCCGGGTGCAACAAGAATTGCCAGGAGGGGAAGTTTCCTCCGACCTCGCGGGTACTATGCCTGTGAGCCTAGCCAGTAACATGTGTGCCCTCGTAAGGATGATTCGGTTTTGTAGGCATGGTTTCGCGAATCCGTTGCCGAACAAGGAATCCCAAAGAGTGCGCGAAGCGATGGTCGATTGCAATTTCGCCCGGCGCCGGCTGTGGCGATGTCATACGGACGGCGGCGGTGAGTGCAAGGGGGAAGTGAACAAGTAGTTTCGTGACTCTGGCCTCGTCCACACGGATATTGGCGGATGTTGGTCACAAGCTAACAAAAATCGCCGCGACGCGCATCCAAAAACTACTCGAAATCCGTCGGGCTCTTTTGTTGCAGTCGGCCGCCCCAGAAGAGCTCTGAGACGAAGAGCTCGTGCACGCCACCACCTTGTGCAAAAACGCCCCCAAGAACGCACCAGGGCACGAGGGCACAAGTAATTCCAACAGTACTTGAGAGTAGTGACGGTGACGATGGAAGTGAATGGCCGCCTTGGGGTTGCGTACTTGGTCCCCAAGCCCCTGGCGGTTCGAAGTCCCAAAACCCCCGCGTGCTCTCCCGCTCCCTCTGTTCCTCCTCCTTCTCCTCCTCGTCCTTTTCATCCCTTCTCCTCCTCCTCCTCCTCCCTCCTCCTCCTCCTCCTCCTCCTCCTCCTCCTCCTCCTCCTCCTCCTCCTCCTTCTCTTCCTCCTTTTCCTCCTCCTCCTCCTCCTCCTCCTCCTACTCCCTCTCTCGCTCTCTGCCCTGGCGGCAGCAAGGGCACCAGATCCGCTGGAGGCGTGGCTGCCACTGGCGACCCCCCACCTTCCAAACGTTCATGGCGGGTGGTGCGACTGGATGAAGGCGGGCAGTTACTCACGTTCTGAGAAGCATCCCTCGTGGAAGGAGCGCTGAAGGCGCATTGCTTCGGTTGCAGACCGACGCGCGCCGATTGGCGCGAGAGGCGTGCTCCCCTCTCCGCCAAGGGCGCCAGAGGGATGCACGACGTGCACGCGGGCAGGGCTGCTTCCCTCTCTCCGCCCCGGGCGCCGGAGCGGGTGCTCCGACGGGGGAGGCGCCGGGTGCGCTCCCGGGCGTCCCGCTGCTGGGCCTCCGCGGCGGACGCGGCCTGCGGCGAGGCCGACCGGCCGCAGACGACGCGGGGGCGTCGAGGCGGAAGCTCAGATGGGCGAGCTCCACATCAGGGGGCCACGGCCTTCCAGGTTGAATTGAAATCGATGTATTGAAATTGCGACTGGCGAAACTCTCGTGGAACAATTTCCAAATGCGAGCCCTACCCCTGCCCCCCACGATGTCTGAGGGGGAGGGGGGGGTGCACTTCGCTCGGGAGCTCCCGCACGAAGGGAACCCCACCCCTCCCCCTCAGACATCGTGGGGGGGGCAGGGGCAGGGTCCGCATGTGCCCCCCTCTCGAGGCGGAGGCTCAGATGGGCGAGCTCCACATCCGCACAGCCCGTGTCCTCTCGGGTCGTGGATGCCGCTGTGCTCAGGCCGGCGCGCGTGCCGGCGAGGGGCGGCAGCGGCAGCAGGGGCCACGGGCCTCGAGGTCGTCGGCGGCATGCTCGGCAGCCTCGCCTCCCTTTTCCCGCCGCTGCCCTGCCCCCCTGCCGCCGCTCTTTCCCGAGACCCCCCCTCTCTCATGATTCCCCTCTCTCTCCCGTGGTTTCACTCCCCCCCTCCGTGCCCCGCCCCCTCCCCTCCCAGCCTTCCCTCCCCGTCCCGCCCTCCACCTTCCTGCGCCCCCTTCCCTTTCCACATCCCCCCGCCCCCTCCCCGCCCTCCACCCCGTTCACCCCTCTCTTCCTCCTCCTCCCCTCTCCCCCCCTCTGTCCCGCTCCCTTTTTCATCTGTCGCGCCCGTCCCTGCACCCTCCCCCGCCCCGCCCGCCCTGGCGGAGCGAGGCTTCTGGAAGACAGGCCCAGAGTGCGTCGTCCACCAGGCCGACTACGACAAGCTCATAGTGAGCACCACAGACAACGATAAGCTGAGCGCCCTGGCTGCAGGGGAGGAGGCAGGGCAAGGGGAGGGCGAGGGAGAAGAGAGGAGAGTAGGAGGGGACGGGGAAGTCTGGAGAAGGACGGAGGGCGGGGGGTGGAGGAGGAGGGAGGTCCACCCTTGCCGCCATGTCTTTGGGGATCGAGGGAGGGAAGGAGGAGGAGGAGGAGGAGGAGCGAGGAGGAGGAGGAGGAGGAGGAGGAGGAGGAGGAGGAGGAGGAGGAGGAGGAGCGAGGAGGAGCGAGGAGATCGAAGATCGAGCAGAAGCGAAGATGCTCCGCCTCCTGCCGCCGTCTTGCTCGCCGCAGTCGCTCGAGGGCCCCGTCGCCCGGTTGCTTGAGTCTCCTACGCGTGCTTGAAGATCACGGTGGGCGCCATGCTAGCTGATTGTCCCGCGAGTGCTCTCATCGCGCGTGCCTGACAATCGCGCTGGACGCCAGGTCGCCTGGCTGTCCCGCGAGTGCCATGCTCGCGCGTGTTTGGGGAGCGCGCTTGAGGCCATACCTGCGCAGGACGGAGGATTTTCCTCTTGAAGTCGAAGACCACCCCCGTCCCCCGTAGAATCTTAACACGGGGGGGGGCCTGCGGTCGACGGACCCCACTTTTGTCGGCTCCCAGAGCGAATTCGTAAATGCAAAACGGGGTAGGAATTGGATCCGCCGTAAAAAATATGGTCCCACGCGGATCCCGAACATCAGAAATGGGATCCGCGCGCATGGAAATGGGATCCGCCGCGATTTCACGATTACGGTAAGGTTGGAAATCGGACCCGTGCGACCCTCATTGTGTTCGCCGCTATGATTTCCCAGAGGGCCCGTGCACCGCGTGGGACCGTCAGGTTCAGCGCCAAGAGGAAAAAACCTTCGGCCTGGGGATGTATTGTCTGATTGTCCCGTGAGTGCTATACTCACGCGCGCTTGAGGGGAAGGAGGGAGAGGAGTGCGCGAGTCAGGTGCAGTGGTGGACAAGATTGACTCCGTCTTCAAGCCAGTAGTTGATAAAGTCAATTCGCCAACGTCTTAGTGCGGCTGATGTGTCCAACTGATCGGCCGAACAGGCAAGCAGAGAGAGGAGGAGAGGGAGGAGGAGGAGGAGGAGGAGGGAGGGGGGAGGAGGAGCAGAAGGGGGAGGAGGAGGGAGAGAGAGGAGGAGGAGGAGGAGGAGAGGAGGAGGAGGAGGGAGGAGTAGAGGAGGAGGAGGAGGAGGAGGAGGAGAGGAGGAGGAGGAGGAGGAGGAGGAGGAGGAGGGGAGGAGGAGGAGGGAGGGAGGGAGGGAGGAGGGAGGGAGGAGAGGAGGGAGGGAGGGAGGGAGGGAGGAGGAGGAGGAGGAGGAGGAGGAGGAGGGAGGAGGAGGAGGAGGAGGAGGAGGAGGAGGAAGGAGAGGGAGGAGGGAGGAGAGGGAGGAGGAGGAGAGGGAGGAGGAAGAGAAGGAGGAGGAGGGGAGAAGGAGGAGGAGGAGGGGCCATAAGAAAGTCCATACGAGCATGATCTGTCGCTGCGCGAACCGCCCCGTGGAAAGACAGCGCCACCCTGGCCTGCACGTCGGACGGGAGCTCCATTCTGAAACCCGAGGGGCCCACGAGCCAGGTAAGGAGGTTGAGTCAAACGTGTTAGTGGCATGCTGGCTACATGACCACCATTACCTCTTGGATTTCCTCCTACTTCTCACTCCTCCTCCTCCTCCTCCTCCTCCTCCTCCTCCTCCTCCTCCTCCTTCTCCTTCTCCTCCTCACTCATCCTCATCAACATCATCATCACCACTCATCATCATCGTCATCATCAGCAGCATCATCAGC